TTTCTTTCTTTCTTTCTTTCTTTCTTTCTTTCTTTCTTTCTTTCTTTTTTTTTTTTTTTAAGTTTATTTATATTGAGAAAGAAAGTGAGCCTGAGCAGGGAAGGGGCAGAGAGAGAGAGGAAACAAAATCCCAAGCAGGCTCCATACAATCAGCACAGAGCCCAATGAAGGGCTCAAACCCACAGACTGTGAGATTCTGACCTGGGCCAAAATCAAGAGTCAGACACTTAACCAACCGAGCCACTGAGGCACCCCAATAGGATTTCTTTAAAGACCTCTAGTCTTAGTCCTTACTGCTCATTGGATACTGAGCCCCTGACTATTACACTAATCTAAGCAAGAACTGGCCAAACACAACTATCTTTGGAATTTATTATTTTTCCTGGCTAACTGCTTTTTGCATTTTCCTCTGCTAAAAGAGAGTTAATACATTTGTTGAAGAGACACTTATTTGGGGAGACTATGTCTGAAATATTTGACTAGCTCCAGGCCACTAGACTATGCATGGCACAACCCCAGGGGGCACTATGCACATAGACTAAAATGTAAATGGAGCCCCCTGCAGATATGTAGCATGACAGGCCTGGAGGACCTACAAAGGCTGCCTCTGCTCTCACCAAATCCTTACCAGTTGTACACACTAGAGGAAAACAAAACTTTCTCTTGGGTCGGGGGAAGTGTAAATAAAGCCACAATCAGATTTGATCAGATAACCCTGCTCAGTTCCTTCCTCATTCTCTCACAGCTTGTTAGTGCTAGAAGAGCCTTAGAGGGCATCTTGTCCACTCTTCCCATGCAAATGACAACAGTGAGAGGGGCAAAGTGATCACTAGGATCACAGAGGCACTGGTGGCAAAAGCAGGGTAGGTGCTGAAGGTCCCATGGCTTTTCTCAAAAATACTGACCACACACAGTATTCATCAATGGTTTCCATCCCGAAGTGGATAAAATAGCCCTGTATTTATTAGATGACAAATAAGAACTAAGACTTACCCAAAGGCAGAGGTCAAAAACCAGTAGCCAGAGATCAAATTCAACATGCAACTGTCCCTAATTTCACTAGCAGTGTCTTAAAAGTCTAGAATAAGGGGCCAGCATTTAAAAATCACACTTCTATCTTCAGTCAAAAAGTCACAGCCTCTGATCCCACTGCAGTCCCATCCCACCTCATACTGGGGCACAGGAACTGCCGTTAGGTAGGGAACACATTCTCCACTTTGCCACGGTCCCTTCTGACCGGAGATTTTTTTCAGCTCTGGTTCATTTCTTCCCTTACATTTCTCCTGCGTGGCCCCTGTGTGTGGTTGAATCGGTGTGACCTTGTTCCTAAGGGCTCTGAAATGGACTCAAATGTCAGAAACTACAAGGATACAGAACTGGGCTCACCATAGAGCAGCGCTTCCTCTGGAGTAATCCCCTCTGGATGTGGCTTGTACGTTGGCAATGTACGAGCCTGGGCTGCAGAAACCTCCCTTCAGCCGGATATTTGCAGAGGGGGTTTTCAGCCCCAGATGGTGAGTGAAAAGGAGCTAGCTCCATGCCTGAGTTTCTCAGAGCCTGTGATCTTGGCCGGGCTCCTCAACTCCCACCATCCTCCCATGTTACCTCATTTGTTGGGCACAAAGCATCTGGTCCTCAAATTCCCTGGCCGGCCTCATTAGTCAGATTATTAGGAAACCTGCGAGCCTGGCTGGGCAGACACACTCCCAACCTCCCTGGGTTCTAGATCACACCTGCTGGATTTCCCCTGCTCCATCCCCAAGCTTTCATTTCCTGCCATCTGCTGGGGAGAACAGGAATAGCAAGCCTTTCTCCAGTCATTCCCAGGGAATTTCCTTTCTCCGGGCTACAATGTGAAATTGATGATCATCTAACTAGATGGGGCCTCCAGGCCACACCTCCACCCCTTCCACTCCTATGTTTAATTGATGAGGAAGGCAGAGAATAATTTGCCCAAAGCTGTATATAAAATTAATTTGGTGCTTCCCCTGCATAACTAGAGCCCAGTGAGAAAACACTTTCAAGCACCCTATCCTGCGGCAAGGGCAGATTTACACTGATAAGCAATAGAGTTGGGTATCCCTTCCAGGCACTGGGTCCAGTAATTTGGCCAGTTCCCCCAACTCCTTTCCTTGGCCCTGCCACAAACACCCTATAGTCAGTCGCCCTATTCACAGACAAAAATTTATTGAGATCTATTTGCTAGGCACTATACATGTTCTTTCCCATTTCCGCAGTGAGGGTGTTGGACCAGATTCATCCATTCGCCAAAGACTTCTTGAGCATTTTTCATGTCTCAAATCCTCCTAAGTGCTAGGAATAAAATCCCATTTAAAAAAGGGAGGGGGAGCACCTGGGTGGCTCAGGCGGTTAAGCATCTGACTTCGGCTCAGGTCATGATCTCACAGTTTGTGGGTCTGAGCCCCGCATCAGGCTCTGTGCTGACAGTTCAGAGCCTGGAGCCTGCTTCGGATTCTGTGTCTCCCTCTCTCTCTTCCCCTCCCCTGCTTGTGCTCTCTCTGTCTCCCAAAAATAAATAAATGTTAAAAATTTTTGTTAAAAAAAAGGGAAGCTAGGAGTAGTAAAGCTATACTGGTAAACATTTACTTATTCAGCAAATATTTGCTGAGTTTTGAGCTTATGTTCAGGAACTCTTCATATGTTCAGTGTTGCAGGTACAATGAACATGAATAAGACTGCCTTCATGGAGCTTAGAGTCTAATGGGAGGACAGACATTAATCAAGAGCTTTAAAAAAATAGAGAGGGATGGGGCGCCTGGGTGGCTCAGTTGGTTAAGCATGCAACTTCAACTCAGGTCGTGATCTCACGGTTTGTGAGTTCGAGCTCTGCGGCAGGCTCTGTGCTGACAACTCAGAGCCTGGAGCCTGCTTCAGATCCCGTCTCCCTCCCTCTGCCCCTCCCCTCCTCGCACTCCATCTCTATCAAAAATAAATAAACATTAAAAAAAATTTTTTTTTAAATAGAGAGGGATGTACAGGGAGCTATGGAGCACACAGCAGGGACACCTAGTCTATCCTTGCCCTCAGGGAAGGCTTCTGAGTCAGACATTAGTTCAGTGGAAGAGGAGTCAGGAGCAGAGGTGGGGGTAGGAGTATGTTCCAAGGAAGAGAGAACAACTTGAGCAGAGGCCCAGAGTTAAAAAGAAGGAACATGACCCTTTTGAATATATGTAAACATTTCAGGGTCACTGGTGTACAGAATGCCAGATGGAGGATGGTGCAAGATGAGATGACGCTGGAAAGGCAGGCAGGGATCGGGTCATCTACAGCCTTGTTTCCCATGCAAGGATTTTAATCATCCTGAAGCCAGTGGCAGCCCATTAAAAAGTTCAAGCGAGGGACGCCTGGGTGGCTCAGTCGGTTGAGTAAGCGTCTGACTTTGGCTCAGGTCAAGATCTCATGGTTTCTGAGTTCCAGCCCCACACCAGGCTCTGTGTGGACAGCTCGGAGCCTGAAGCCTGCTTCAGCTTCTGTGTCTTTCTCTCTGCCCTCCCCGGCTCGCACTCTCCATCAGAAATAAATATTTTTACAAAACAGCTCAAGCGAAAGATGACCAATCAGATCTGTGTTATGACAACTCAGGTGGCTTGGGAGGGCCAGACCGGAGGCGGTAGGAAGACCGGGCTGGAAGTCATCGCAACAAGCTTGTCTGGTGGCCCACGCGAGCTTGGCAAGAGCTGAGCCGGACAGGGGTTCTTATGCTGTGTTTCCTGCTGTCTGCCAGCCCTGTCCTGCACAGGAACAAACAGAAGATAGACTTTCTTCTCTAGAAGCCCTCACTACCTAGGAGGGCAACGTGAGCTGGTAAAAATTCCCCAGAGCCACACGCTGAATCAACAGCTCCGCTGAGACTCTCGGTGCCACCACGGAGCTCACACGGGGAGATAACGAAGCCAGACATGATGCAAGCGGACAACAGTGTCTCCATGAGTCAGATCAGGAAAAGATCCCGTGAGCTGGGAAAGGGAGAAATTAGAAGAATAAGGGCAGCAGGCATGTTGGTGGTGAGCATAAGGCAGGGAGGGAGAAATGCACAAGGGATGGCTGGCAAAGGGCAACCCAACTGGCAGGTGTGCAAAGCAGAAGGTAAGGGGAGGGGCAAAAGCCTGTAAGGTAAGTTGGAGCCAATTGATGAAGGGCTTTGAACAATAACTGAACCCGGAGGTATGTCTGAGGTCACAACTGCCGGGGATATGGGAACATGGAGGCAGAAAGGAGCTGCGGCTTCCCCGGCTTGTGAAAAGGAAGTAAGGCTCTTGCTGTCTCCTGGGCCATTCGCCCCTTCCCCCCCCAACCCACTCGAGGAAACATCACCTGGGGGGTGGGGTGGGTAAAGAGGGCAAGGAGGCAACAGAGGCAAAGCAGGGGATCTCTCCAAATTGTCTCCTTGATTTTTAACCAAACAGCATTCAGAGTATCTGCTCATCTGTAATCTCTGATGGTCAAAAGAACCTTTTGATGTAGCGGGGTGAATCTTCTCCCCCACTTATAGGAAAATATGAAATAAAAAACCCCGAGACTCAAATAAAGAAGTGACTTGCCTCAGGTCACACAGCCAGCAAGTGACAGAGCCAAGACTTGAACACAGGTGTCCAGACTCTATGCCACATTCCTATCCCCTGGTTTGTATCTGTTTCAGCAAGCACGCGGCGCCCCTCTATAAGGCATTACTCCCCAGCCAGCCTGAAAGCCTTCAGAAACCTGGAATGGTAGAGTCCAAGAGGCAGGGAGAACCAGATGGGCGAGGCCAGGCCCCCAGGGGAGTGCCTTGCAGGGAGGGTGCCCAGCCCCTGTCTTATTTTAAGTAGAGCCCCATGCTGAATCTGTTCCAGGAGGATGAGGCCGGAGAAGGCCGCTTCAACTTCTCTGCTTATGGGATGGGCCCAGCCTGTCTGCAGGCCAAGGATGGCATCTCAGTCAAAGGCGCCAATAACAACAATACCACCAACCCCCCTCCCGCACCGTCTAAGTCCCCAGAGGAGATGCGAAAACTCTTCATCCAGAGGGCCAAGAAGATTGACAAAATATCCCGCATTGGCTTCCCCATGGCCTTCCTCATCTTCAACATGTTCTACTGGATCATCTACAAGATTGTCCGCAGGGAGGACGTCCACAACCAGTGACGGGTCTGGGATGGGGCGGGAGTGGGGGAGGCTGGGAGAGGGCAGAATGGAAATAGCACAGGAATCTGAGAGCCTAAGGAAGAGAAGGGGAAGAGAGGGAGGGGGCACACATACACAACTCCCTCTTTCTCTGAAAAATGTGCAATAGCAAAATGCAGTGATGCATGAATCTTAGAATGTGGCACTATCTATTTAACCTCGGGTGGGCTGGTGGGGGGGGGGAGGGAGGGGCTTTTCTAATACAGGAGCAGAGGGGTCGGGAGGAAGGGGAGGGGTGGGTGGGGGTTAGGGAGTGAGGAAAAACAGCTCTCAAAAACTTGAGTCCATGGGCTGTGCAGTTTTCCTATTTGGAAGGAGAGTGCAGTCTGCCCCAGAGCAGAAGGAAAGCCATGTAATATATGATATATATTCATGCTTAATATTAATGCAAAATCACAAGAACAAAGGATTTGTTTCTTAACCTATCAGCCTAGTAACTGCTTAAGTTTTTCAAGTCACAGAAGTGATGGACAATTTTTCCCAGAGTGGAAACAGTCACAAATAAGCTTTTGCTCTGGTGTGTGTCCTATACCATGGCCTTCCAAATGCCATGCCTGTTTTCACACTGGCCTGGGTGGACACATGCCAAAAAGGCAGTCCACCTCTGCTTCAAGAGGGTTGTGCAGCCTGGGCATGGGCAGTGGAAATGGGGCAAAGTGGAGAGAAGAGAGGGAATGACTAAGGAGATGGGGCATTTTCAGAGGCCCAAGGATTGATAATCAAGAGAACTGCACCTCAATCCTCACGTCTCAAGGCTAAGGACCACACCCGCCCCTCTCTGAGCCCCTCTCGCTTCTGTGCTTCAACGCCCACCCCACTTACCCTCCACTGCCACCCAGAAATGGCTGCCATGGTTTCTCATTATATTGCCAATATGCAATCTTTTTTATGGTGACAAAAAAAAAGTAATAATCTCAAGAAATAATATGCAGATAGACTGAGTATAAACCGATGCACTTTTTTCAAATGTCTATTTTTTTGGAGAGTCTCTTCGGAATTGCAAGTGGGTATATATTTGGGAAGGTGGGGTCAGTGGGATGAAATGGACTTCTTACAGGGTGGTTCTACAGAGTGAAGTTTTAAGAGGTGAAAGGGTAGTAATGAGGCTGCCACAGCTGAGATATATACGGGTGGAAAGAGATGGTATGTTTAGAAAGTCTGTTCATTATATTTTGACATTTCCTATGCCACAACGAACGTGGGAAGCATGGGGAGATGACCCCATTATATTTTTATAAGTCTTTTGTTTGTTTTCCTTTTTGGTGCTTTGCTTAGCTTTAACATTTAGGCAAGTTAGACAAATATTTCTTTCCCTCTAACTCTGATGTGCCAGAACTATCCTAGGTTGGCTAGGGCACTCCAGGAAAAAAAAAAAAAAAAAAAAAGAGGAGAGGGATTAGGAAATGAATCGTGAAGGGTGGGGGACCCTGCTGAAGGACACAGAGGCTCACAGTTGGGAAGTCTGAAATGTGGACCATGGGATTAAAGACGGGAGTTGCCTCCAGCAGCCTCTGTCCTCTCTGCCAACAACGCCACGCCTGTAATGATGGCACGACTCTCTGGGGCATGCTTCCCACTGTGGCCTGTGACCAGGGTCCTGGAGTACATTTCTTCCTTTGCACTTCAGTGTCTTGGCTTTGAATCAAAGTAGCGGTAGATGGTGGGACACAGTGGCCAATCGGTTTGCCCTGAGGCTTGGGGTTTTACATGTGTCTTTCAAGTATCCCCAGTGTGGGGCAGGAGAGAGGGGAGACGTTGGGAGCCTAACTCTTCCCTAAAGCCCCTTCTTCCGGAGAAACTTCTCCCATTTCCTGTGGCACAATTGCTAATACCTCTAGAAGCCCTCCCCACACACACCCCCCCCCCCCACCCCAGAAAAGCAAGTCAAGACAATGATCTAAGGTGTTTAGGTAAAGAAAATGCACTAAGCAGCCAAAAAAGGATCTGGCTTTGAGGCTTGAATGATCAAACTGTTTACATCCAGGTTCAAGGTTTGTTAAGTCATTGCCTTCCTTTCTCTTGGCCTGTGTAGACCAGGAAGTTAAATTGTATTCTAGCCTTGGATGATGTGGGATGGAACCCGGCTCCTGAGGGATGGGAGCCATGTGGGTAGGAATCTCTCTTCTAAGACTATCCTGTTATCCTTTTCCCAACCACAAACTGTCTAAAGGAGGAAAAGGGAACCAGAGGGATTTGAACAAGTACAACCAGTTCAAGACTGGAATATCAGTGTTTGAACTGCTATCGGCACTATGTTCACTTTATTTAAGGGAGGGAATCCTCAGCCCTGCAGTGATTCGTGAGTCGCTGGAGAGGCTATTTGCCCCTTTTACTAGCATTTTACTCACTTTATTTAAGGGGAAAATCATTTTTTTCATTAAAAAAAACTTAAGAAGCCCTTTTCCCTAGTTCGCTCATGACGGGACTAAATTCAGAACGTCTTGAAGTCTAGGTGATCGGGCAGCGAAGGCATCAGGCCTCTATCAGGGACTAAAGACAGTACCAATTGTTTCAAGGCATTCTGCCTCTGCTTGAATGGCAATATCTACAGATTTCAAACTGGGCTCCTTGTATGAGGTGTCTGGAATCTCTCTGAAACAAAGACATCACTGGGCTGTTTGCCCAACCTCTGCTGGGTCCTTGAACTTCTGCCACCATATTCAACCAGTGGCCCCACTGGGAATGGCCGGGTCTAGTTGACAAGATCCAGCAGACAATAGAATCATCCTTTTGAGACACAGAGGGGGGAATGTTGCTGAAATCTTCTCTCCGACTGTTCCAAATTTGGTATCCCTCATAGAGAATAAATGTGAGTGAATGCATTACAGCAGTGAAAGGAAGAACCTGAATTTTAGTCCTAGCACTAATATGTTGGGGAAACTTGGATAAATGCTTTAGCTTTACTTCCTCTACAGACACAGTGGGGAAAGGGGTATAAACCTCTAACCCCTTCTAGCTCTAACTGTCCTGTGTGCTTGAACCGATCTATGGGAGGTTTACACAACAAAAGGCTTAATGCCGCTTTTGTTTCCAAACCCTCTCAATAGATCTAGATAGATCCACACATACATGGATCCACACAATCCTCATGGCCTTTCTTCTTTGGGAAATTTGTGGAATCGTTTTTCCTTTCGCTCCACTTTATCAAAGATGAGCAGTGGCGGGAAAAGAACATCCATCATTGTAAAGTCAAAAATACCCTCATGAATTAGAATGGAGCATGCTCAAAGAGAAGGCGTTGTCATTAGTGTATAATGTAGTGAGGACTTAGCAATAAACTACATGGATTTTATCATTATAAAAAAATCAAACTAGATAATTTAGGCCAAAAACGTTTTGTAGGTGGCTCCAAGAAATAGGACAATACTTTCTCAATTTCCTCTTCAGTCTGTACACAGAGGATATCATACCTTGGGACTACATACACCAAATGCTGTGGTAGGGAGAAAACTGACTAAGGTATAATGGGTGGCTTACTGGTCTTCCAACATCTACATGGTTAGACCAGTATTTATGCATGGAGGTAGAACTAGACAGGACATAGGGCGGATGGTGATTTCCCGCACCTCCAAAACTGCAGCTATTCCTAGGAATCCAATTTGAGAAATATCAATTAAGCAGACAGATAATGCCAATAACTTCTCACCTTAGTCTACAACTTACCTTGATTAGTTTCAAAGCAGCCAAAAGAAATGGCTCATCTCTGCCAACCTCTGGTCTTTTCAAACTTTCAAGAGTCCGTGCTGGGCTAAGGCTATAGAGAGTAACCCAGGAGTAACACAGGAGTGAATATAAAGATGTGGTAGGGTGTGTGTGTGTGTGTGTGTGTGTGTGTGTGTATGTGTGTGTGTGAGGGAGAGAGAGAGAGAAAAGACAGTCATTTAATCCAGATTATTTCTTCTTCTAAACTGTCAATAAATAAGAAATGTATCCCTCTAAGAAGCCTATCAATATTTTTCATAGACTATGTTTTCATACTAGGGAGAAAACAAATGAATATGACAGGAGTTGGTTACTTTCCTTCAAAGTACACATTTTTATGGGCATCATTAAAAAGAGATTGTGTTTTGTGAGCCTCCATGATATTAGATTGCAGAGCAGATTAGTGTCCCAGATAAGCTGTTACCATCACTGATAAATCAGTCTTTTGTGAAAATTACATTCCTTAGTTAATTGCAACACACTGAAATTGAAGGGAGCCATCCTTCTGTCTGCAGCAACTGCCTCCTTAGTAGAAGAAGCTCGTAGGCAAAGGGCTTGGTGGTGGCACCATTTGTGTCAGCTGGAGGACTGGGGTCGAGAGCTGAGGTCTACTTGTCCCCATTCTGGCTGGAATCCCGGCCCGGGGACAATGAATACCACTCTGGAAGCTATCGGGTTCATTCAAAAACAAGCACCTTCTGCACATTCTGCCTGCCCTCTGCCCCAACTCTGAAGAGGTGGGCAAGATGGGGTTTTCTCTACAGGCTAGGTTTCCCAGATTGACTAGAAAGCTTGCATTGAGGGGCTGGTAAGATCAGCCCCTGAGGAAGGCTGAATGGCCCTCTACCCTCCAAGATAAAGCATCCTTAATTCAGGAACCGATGACACCAAAACAAGCTTACTATAAACAAGCAAGTAGAAACCATGTTCTTAAAATATAATTTATCTTTTTTTCCTCCACTAAGCCCTTTCTCTGAGAAACCAGCTTCAGAAATTTGAATTGAGAACCCTTCTGTTTTCCTGTAGCTCTACAAAGCCAGAAATAGGAGCTCACGCTGACCAAAGGAAGGATTAAAAGAAACGTGCCTTGTTTTGTTTGAGCTGGCTTGCCCAACGACTTGTATCTGTGTAAGGAACAGTACACGTTGGAAAGGCTTTGGTTTCACGGTATCCTGAAATCCCAATGAATGAGGAATATCGTTAGATAGGTTGAAATTCAAATAAAGAACTTGGAAAAATCCTGAAATGCTGCCATCCCCACCTAAGTAATCTAGAGTCTTGGGGGCCCAGACTAGATGATGCCACTACCAAATTATTATCCCGTTGCTTCCTTTGGGATTTCTCAAGCTGTAAAGACAGCAACGGCAGGAGACAGGTTTGTTCATACGTGGGTGCTATTACATGCTGTTTTGATGGAGCCGTGTGGTTATTTAAAGCAATAATTAAGGTGCTTTATCATTCTT